CCGTCAGAGAGTACAGATGTTGGAGCAAGAGTTACGCCGAGAGCGTGAACGACTTCGTGCGACGGACAACCGCCGTCGATCGACGTCACGGCGTGGCAGCGAGCGTCGGGAGTCCTCCGAACGTCGGGTAGCCGGGTGCCGTGCGGAGCTACGTAGCATCGAGCGCCGCGAGCCCTCCGGACGTCGGGAAGCCGAGTGCCGTGCGGAGCTACGTGTCAGCGAGCACCGCGAGCCCTCCGGACGTCGGGAAGCCGAGTGCCGTGCGGAGCTACGTGTCAGCGAGCACCGCGAGCCCTCTGGACGTCGGGATGCCGAGCGTCGGACAGATCTACGTGTCGGCGAGCATTGCGGAGAGCTTCGTGACAGCGAGCGTCGCGAGCCGTCCGGACGTCGGGCAGAGCTTCGTGTCAGCGAGCATCACGAGCCCTCCGTTCATCGGGAAGCTGAGCGCCGGGCAGAGCAACGGGTCGACCAACATATCAATGCAGAAGAAAATATGAGGTCACGTAGTTCATCTTTTTCTAAGAACGATTTTCTTAATTTTTTAAAATTGCTTAAGGAGGATCTGTCGTCACAGCCACATAAACAATGCACAGTCGTCACAAAAGATAGACCACCAAAATATATTGCCTAATTTTGATCCATCAACTAAAAATCAACGTGTTGATATATGGCTTAAAAAGGTCAATGAATGTGCATCCGTATATGGTTGGGACGATAGAACTACCACTCACTTTGCCATGCAGAAACTCCAAGGACTGGCTAAAATTTGGTACGAAAGTTTGAATTCCATTCTCTTTAGCTGGAACGAATGGCAGGATAAATTGATAAATGCATTTCCTTGTGAACAAAATTACGGCCAGACCTTGGAGGATATGCTAAAAAGAAAAAGTAAGTTTAATGAGCCTATTGAGGTTTATTATTACGAAAAGCTTGCTCTAGTAACTCAATGCGATATAGTAGGAAAGCGTGCCGTGGACTGCGTTATTCACGGCTTGTCAGATAGGACGCTTAGATCAGGTGCCCTGGCATTACGTTGCAGTCACCCTGATCAACTTTTGCAGTTCTTAATAAGCAATAAAGATACTCATCAGCCTTCCGCGGACCGTGGTCAATTTCGTGATAAACTTTTAGATAATACATATCAGAGTTATAATCAGAACCAAGCACATAAGGTTATAGTTAGATCGGTTCAACCCATAGGTTGCTATAATTGTAAGGAGAAAGGCCATAGTTTTCTACATTGTCCTAAACCTATCTTAAAGTGCCAACGATGCAATAAAATCGGTCATACGTTAGATACCTGTTTTAGCAAGTCAGGGGAAAAGCCGACGAATACTAACGCTACAGTTTCAAAAACAATGCGCATAGATTCTGTCGAACACTGTACTCAAGGCTCAAACTCCAAATTTATAAAAGAGGTTATTGTTAATGGGGTGTCCCTACAGGGATTCATAGATTTTGGAAGTGAGGTTACTTTGATTAAGGAGTCGGTAACCAAGGAGTTAGGCTTGTTTCACGATAACACGTCCTCTCAAATGAAAGGCTTCGGTAATAGCGTTGTGCAATCTCTTGGAGAGCTATCGCTCGACTTGAGTATAGACGATGTCAAAGCCAGAGTTATTTGTAAGGTAGTCTGTGACGATTTCTTGGAAAAACCCTTGCTAATTGGTCAAACTTTTACGGA